AACAACTCATTTGGAAGGAAAACTGTGGGTTTGTCTATTGTTTTTTTCCTTTTTTTTCTTTTGTTGTTTCTTGTGTTTAATGTGGACAATTTACCAAAATAAAGTGATTGATTGATTGATTGATTGATTGAAAACTCTTCAGGCATCAGGGCGAGAACAGACACAGGTCTATTCATCTCAGTTTGATTTCATTTTCTACGACTTTATCACCACAGAAAGGGACATTTATGTTGATTATTGAAGGGGGAAAAACAAATATGACGATTATAAATGCAAAAACTAAGGCAGAGTTTGGAGATTTTCACATTTTTTTACATCCTAAACGTTGATTTTTAGTGTTTTAATATTTATGATACAGGCGGAAAAATTATTGAATTTCGGAAAAAAATAAGTGATTGATTTCTGATATCTTAGATCAGGGGTGTCAAACTGTTGTTGTAATTATATTTGGCCCCGAGACAATACCAAATGACTACGAGAGTATTATACTGTACATTAACAGCTCATACTACAACTCCCATAATGCCCTGCTGTTGTTTTGGCACGTCAATCAGGACCCAGAAACTCCTCTGTGACAGTAGGACCAGCAAATTTAATTTAGGTTTTTAATTCAGAATGCTGCCAATAGAAAAAAGTTTTAAAATCTTATTCAATAAATGAATGCCATGATGTTTTTTTTATTTGAAATTGGATTTTGCATGTCTCCACTATTAAGTTATATATAATGTAATATGAGTTTCTTGTTCCATATTCAATAGTTTTGGTTTTTGCCCCTTTTTTTGTGGGGCTCAGAAAGTCTGAAAAACATGTTGTTCTGAAGCAAAAATCTGAGTCCGTTTAGGAGAATAAGAGATAGAAAAATGTATTAAAGGGAAAACTTCATGAAGTGAGAGCAACGTATCAAGCTGCTTCAAAGTAAAACAAAATCGTAGTACATTTTATACCAGTCTGAGTCTGAAATGAGACCTAAAGTCTGCCCTTCATTTTCATTAAAACAATTAAACAATCCTCAAGAATTTGACCAAATATGAGGACATATTATACCCTATTTCAACAAGTTAAGCTAGTTCCCTGGTGTCCTAATCTAATGTCTGAGACAAACTTTGGTCAAAATCCCATAAGGATGAAGCCCAATAGCAGTTCAGTCCCCCTGCCTAACCCTAACCCTAACCCTAACCCTAACCCTAACCCAAAACAGCCCCGTTCAGAGCGCTCGCTTTGGAGTGCCTGTCTCTTTAAATGCAAATGAGAGAC